GAGAGAGAGAGAGAGAGAGAGAGAGAGAGAGAGAGAGAGAGAGAGAGAGAGAGCGCAAGCAGGGCCCCTAGAAGCCAGAAGAGGGTATCATTTGAATCCTTTCTATATAGAATTACAGACAGTTGTGAGCAACATGGGTACTGGGAACCAAACACATGTCCTCTGGAAGAGCAATGCTCTTAACCTCTCTCCAGCCTCTGGAGCAGCATTCTGCAGCAATATCTTCCATTACATCTTCCTGGGATTCTGAAGAGAGTCCCAAAAGCATGCTGCCACCCCCAACCTCAACATATTTTTCTCCTAGACCGTTCTATCTGTGTTATCTCAAAGTTGTTCAGTTGCTTTCAAATCCTGCCTTTATTTGACATAGTTGATTTTTGAAGTAGTTTCATTTAGATTTTTGCCTTTGAATTTTTTTAACTGCCAAATAGACACTGATGTTATTTTTCTTTTTTTAATTAATTTTATGTTATTATTCTTGATTTACCAAAAGAGAAATGGAAGCACAAGTCTTGCAAGGGTCAGGGCAATAATTAATCCCCTGCTTCTGACTGGATCCTTGTAGAGAGAAGTGGGTCTTCTGTGGCAACTGGAGTTTTCAGAGCTGATTCTGGTCTTTTCTCTGTGCTTTCTGGTCTCTGCCTGGCAGTGTGGCTGTGAGCAGAGTACTTTACCCTCTGATCTGTGACTTCCATGCCATGGATGCATTTAGGTAAAATGAACTCTAAGGTGGCTTCTAGTTCTGAAAAATATATATATATATCTGATTTAAAAACCTGCCATTCACTTGTGAGTAAACTCATTACACTTTGAGGTGCTGAGCCGATGAGGGACACAGTGAGCAAAGGAAAGTGTTTCTTAGTTACTCTCTGATTCCTAAGCAGGTGGTTAGAATGAGAGGCAGGGGCTTTGATGGTGAAGAGGGGATATAAAGCCCTGAAACTGTCATAAAGAACTCCATACCCAGTAAAAGCAAAGGCAGATGTTCACATAAAGTTTTTGCTGTTTGTGTTTTTGTGGGGGGACTTTTTGGGTATGAAGTTTATTAGCAAGGCATGGCAGCATCTGCTCACTGATGGTGTCATACAAAGGCAGCCTTACAGACAGTTTATGGGGTTAGAATTATTTTTGTTAATGATTTTCATGGGAGTAGATGAAATGCAATGTGCACCAGCTGTAACTGTGTTTTATCATGCAGCTGCCTTATTGAGAATACACACACACACACACACACACACACACACATCCCATAGATGCATGTCTTGCTTATCAAAGAGTATATAAGCTGTAGTAACTGCAGAAAACAGGAAGGTAAAAAAGAGAATGTGGTGGGGAACTCTACAGAAGGGAATAGCAGGATACAGATGATATGAAGGAGGAAATAGAAAAGGATGCCTTTAATTTAGAAGGGAGAAGGATAAATAACACTAAGAATGTCTGAAAAAGCCATAGGGAGTCATATTGTTTTATGTTTATTTAAAATGGCATGTAATATACACACATATATGCATTCTCTCTCTCTCTCTCTCTCTCTCTCTCTCTCTCTCTCTCTCTCTCTCTCTCTCTCTCTCTCTCTCTCTCTCTCGTGTGGGGT